CAGCAACAACAGAGGTTGATTGGACAAAGCAATAATATTACAAATCTGCAGCAGCACCAGCAACCACAACAGTTAATTAATCAGCAAAACAGTCTCTCAATATGCATCAACAGTTGGGAAGTAACGTCCCTGGCCTGCAGCAGCCGCAATTGCTTGGACCTCACTCTGGCAACTCTGGCTTACAAAATACTCAGCACTCTGCACACATGTTGCAACAACCAAAGGTTCCAATGCAGCAACAGTCACACAAAATACATCAAATTTGTTACCATCTCAAGTGCAGCAACAACAGCCACAGGCTTCACAGCAGCAAATGATGTCCCAGATTCAATCTCAGCCTGCACAGATGCAACAGCAATTGGGTTTGCAGCAGCAGCCAAATTCCCTGCAGCGAGATATGCAGCAAAGGCTTCAAGCATCTGGCCCTTCAGTTCAACAGCAAAATGTACTTGATCAACAAAAACAGCTGTATCAATCACAAAGAGCCCTTCCAGAAACATCATCAAGTATATATTTTCGTCTATGCTTTTCTTTCTGTCTCTTATGTTTGTATATCTTTCTTTTGGTGAAAAAGTGTTTGTGTATCTCTACTTCTGTTGTTATATCTGTATATCAATGTCTATTTTAAGCAATTTTCTATCTCTGTCTTCTTTGCTGTACTTGAACTTCGAAACTTTACTTTTTGTGCTTCTCCTGCTCTTCAAATCATGAGAACCATCTTATTTCAAAACAAGATTAGAGATGTCTTCCTTAAAATTTGTTAAGCCATGTTTCCACTGTGTATTGTGATGCTTGCACGTCTTATTACTGTAATTATTGTGATTGATGGTAGTCTGTTCATTTTCCTTAAATAAAATATAAGAAATAACTTATTATTTTAATTTATTTATTTGAGCCTTAATGTTCATGTGTGTGTATCATAATCTCTGTTGTAGCTTCCCTGGATTCAACAGCGCAGACTGGACAATCAAGCGGGGGTGATTGGCGAGAAGAAGTGTACCAAAGGGTAAATATGCCTTTTTTTTTTTTTGTCTCACCGATGTTGGCTGGAACGATAGAAATTTGTTGATTGAACCCCAAAATAAAAGTGAGAAAAGTTCCTTAGTTTTTATATCAATGTACTGAATTGTAGCATGAGCTCATGGGCCTTAGAGAAAGGGAAAGTTATGGAAACTCCTATGTTCATTTCTGATGTTCTTAATTCATAGTTTACTTGGATTGAGGGGCTGCAATTTGACCTATGAAAATATCTGTAATGCAGAAGAGGGAACTGATGCCTGCAACTGGAATTAAATTTTGTTTATCACGTCCATTTTATGATCTATTATTCTCATCAAGAAGCACTCCTTGTAATCATTAATCTGATGATATATATTGATATGAATGATATTTTTCCGTGCAAGCTTATGTTTTTAGTTGGTTAAAGTGACTTTGTTAGCAGTTAGGAACACAGGAATACTTTGGACATTCTCTTGAGTTAAATGTAAAACTTGCATTTATGATCCTTTGCTAAATGAAAAAGAATTTGTTGCCATCCTGTCCATATTATGAATGCAACAAATGTTTGTTTGTCTGATTCTGTGGATCTCAACTTTCAGATCAAAATCATGAAAGAAACATACTTGCCAGAATTGAATGAAATGTACCAGAAAATTGCTGTTAAGCTTCAGCAGGTATGTTGAATATTGATTTCTTAAACATGAAATTGCCAACACCATGTATGGATATCTTTCTTTTGTTGGCAATTATGACAGTAATAATGGATTGAGTTCTTGCATCTCTCAATGTGCTGATTATCTATTGCAACTGTTGCTAAGCACTATCAATCCATTTCCTCTTCTGAAATTGCCTGTGAATTTGCTTGTCACGTAATAATATATATTTGCATTTCTATATCAGCATGACTCCCCTCTACAACAACCAAAGTCAGAGCAACTTAACAGGCTGAAGATATTTAAAACAATGCTGGAGCGTCTTATAACATTTCTACAGGTCCCCAAGAGCAACATTGTACCTGGTATGAAGGAAAAATTGGGTTCCTATGAGAAGCAGATTATTAACTTTATAAGTTCTAATAGGCCCCGGAAACCTCTACAGCCGGGACAACTTCCCCCTCCTTCTATGCACTCTATGTCACAGCCACAATCCCAACTTGCTCAGGTGCAATCTCATGAAAATCAAATGAACTCCCAGTTGCAACCAAAAAATATTCAAGGTTCTGCAACAGCAATACCTCAGAATAACATGTCAAATTTGCAGCACAATTCAATGTCTGGTGTGTCAACAGCACAGCAGAGTATAATGAATCCCATGCAACCTGGTGCCAGTTTAGATTCAGGACAAGGAAATCATTTAAACTCCCCGCAGCAGGTTCCAGCAAGCTCCCTTCAACAAAACACTGTCAGTGCACCCCAACAGAGTAACATGAACCCTATATCATCACAAGCTGGAGTAAATGTGATCCAATCAAATCTAAATTCCCTTCAGTCAAGTTCCAGTATGCTTCAGCATCCACAAGTGAAACAGCAACAGGAACAGCAGATGTTGCAGACTCAGCATCTCAAACAAATGCAGCAGCGGCAATTGATGCAGAGGCAGCAGCTCCTGCAACACCAGCAACAATTACACCAACCAGCAAAGCAACAGCTGCATGCTCAATTGCAAACACACCAAATGCCACAGCCTCATCAAATGAATGATGTGAATGATATGAAGATAAGACCAGGAATGGGTGTTAAGTCAGGGGTCTTTCAGCAACATCTTTCCTCAGGCCAACGCCAATCTTATCCCCATCAGCAGTTGAAACAGGGAAGTACATTTCCTGTTTCTTCACCCCAACTCCCCCAGACTGCATCTCCTCAGATTTCACAGCATTCATCTCCCCAGATCGATCAGCAAAATCTTCTTCCACCTCTCACAAAAGTTTCGACCCCTCTGCAATCTGCTAACTCACCATTTGTGGTCCCGACTCCTTCACCTCCCTTGGCTCCATCTCCTATGCCTGTAGATTCAGAGAAACCCATCTCTGGTGTTTCATCAATAACAACAACTGCAAATCTTGGGCATCAACAAACGGGAGGTGCAGCAGCACCAGCTCAATCCCTTGCCATTGGGACTCCTGGTATATCAGCTTCTCCTTTGCTGGCAGAGTTTAGTGGTCCAGATGGTGCTCATGGCAATGCTTTAGCTTCCAGTTCTGGAAAGTCAACTGTTACAGAGCAGCCTATTGAACGCTTAATTAAAGCGGTTAGTTCAGCTGATTTTATTTTTGATTGATCTATTGGGAACTTTCTGTGAAGCATTAGACATGACAATTATTGGAACCAGACTTCTGGTCGTTGGTTCAGCTGTTAGGTGACTAATTGAAATAGTCAAACGGGTTCATATATATTCAAATTAATTTTATGATAAACCTATTCAGATTAATTTATATGCTTTAGATTTAAATGAAATGTTATGTAGCATTTTTTTTAAAAAGTAGTTCTATAGTTTTAAGTTATACATTTATGTATAATGTATTAATTTAATTCATTTTATCACCCAAAAGAATAATAATTTAATTCATTTAAATGACATAGAAGATAAATATAATCACAAGCTTTTTATTTATTTGTTAACTCCAAAAAGAAATTAAGACAGAATATGAAGCAATGTGAACAAACCTGTGGTTGCATTGCATGTATTCCCCGTGTCCTAAAACATCCATATGTGCGACGAATTTAAGCAAACCAAAAACAGAAAGGTAGTATCATTGTTATAACTCCCACATCAATGAAGTGAGGCCAAAAGAATGCCCCCACTTTACTATAAATTGCACCTCAAGTATGGTAAAAAGCCAGTAGGCAGTCTAGAGTGATTTGACTCTGACCAACCACTGAGTTCACTATTTAACCCCATCGGTTAATCAACCCGTTAGATAGGCTGGTTTATGAAAGTTAATCAAACAACCCATGGATTTCTTGACTTTTGACTGATTCAGTCATTCTGAACTGAACAAATATTTAAACTGGACAATACACCAGGTTATTGGTTCAACCAGCTAGTTCAGTCTGCATTCAAATAGAAAGTTTTCCTTTATTATTCTACTTCTATTGTAGTTGCATTAGAAAAATTTATGCGATTCCAGGTAAACTCAATGTCATCTAAAGCATTAAGTGCTGCGGTCAGTGATGTTGGCTCAGTTTTCAGCATGGTTGATAGAATAGCAGGATCAGCCCCAGGCAATGGATCCAGAGCTGCAGTTGGTGAGGATTTGGTTGCCATGACTAAATGTCGTCTTCAGGCTAGAAATGTAGTTAACCAAGATGGAACTAATGGAACCAAGAGGATGAGGCGATATACCACTGCCTTGCCTTTGAATGTTGCATCATCCGGTGGTAGCATGAATGATAGCATCAAGCAGTTTACTGCAGCAGAGGCTTCTGATCTGGAGTCAACTGCAACATCAATTATCAAGAATCCAAGGATTGAGGTACTAACTTATGTTCTATGACATCTTTGTAAATTGTCAGTTCTTCCCTTCTGGCTGAACATTAGATTTTATGAAAATGGGCACCTAAGCAGAGGATTATATTTTGTATTTAGATGTCAACTGCATGACTTTTCCCCTTTCTTTAGTCGAGATTGGAATGCACAATGGGGAGAGAGGGACAAGGGGTAAAGGAGTACCCAAAGGTGGTCTTATTAATTGATGCACACTTTTCATTTTATTGAACATATGTTATTTGCTACTGATAAACACAAAATCAAAGGGGGGAAAACCCCGGTATTATGTTCACCAAAAAAAAAAAAAAAAGAGTATTATGACTGGAACTTTTTGGAGAACCACCCCCCAAAATCTACCACCTGGTTAGAGAGCCTAACATCCACATAAACTCCATAGCTGAATATCATCGACTGTGGGACTCAAGTTTCGTACTTTGCCATTGGGTTCTAACATATTATCATTAAGTTAATTGAGACTTTGGTGCTGTTGTTAATGCCGTTAGTTAAGGATATGAGACTAGAATTAGAAGGGTTAGTTACCTATTTTATATGCAACATATTTTCAAACAATCCTTGCTGTCAAAGATTTAAATGCAATTTAATCAGGTAACAAAATGGTAAGAATGACAGCAAGCAATAAATAATAATAGCTGCAACAAATGATGACGGCAGTTGTAGTAGTGTTTAGTCGTTAGGCTGATGCGTTATCGGTTATTGCTTTGGTTGATAGCTTTTCTGATGTTTACCATTAACCTTTATCTACCACATTTAAGAACAATAATTAAGGTCACATGAGTTTGAAACCCCGTGTCTTGTGTAAGATCTTAGATAACTTCAGGCTGGAAATTGCCTGGAAATTCTGTTGGGTTTAGCATATGTAATGACTAGGATTCTCCATCTGGAATCTGGATTGTCTATTAAAATTCTTGTAATAAACATGATATTCTATTATATTGTAGGGTGTATAATAGTTATAATAGCCAGGTAATGACTATGGCGGTGTTTGGAAGACCAATTATTTAAAAAGATGTCGTTTGAAATGCAATTACGTACAAATCTTCAAATACCATCGATAATATGAACTGTGGATGGACTGGATTCTTAGTTCAAGGTTATTCCAAATAACTTTGATAGAATCTTTTTGTAAATGAAGTCATTTTTCTTAATTTAGAGGTTCAGAAGGCAGTATATGACTAGAGTTTTTAAGAGTAGCTTTATATCTATTGTCCTTGATTGCTGATCTAGACGACCTTACGCATAAGGAACTTATGTGACGTATGCTGCAGGCTAATCATGTCCTATTGGAAGAGATAAGGGAGATTAATCAACGACTTATAGATACAGTTGTAGGTATCAGTGATGAGGATGTTGATCCAACTGCTGCCGCTGCCGCTGCTGTTTCTGGAGGGGCAGAAGGAACCGTTGTCAAGTGTTCTTACAGTGCTGTAGCTCTCAGTCCAAGCTTGAAATCACAATATGCTTCAGTGCAGATGGTAAGGGTTTAACTCCTAATTGCAAGAACTGTACATATTAACTTTTGCTTATTTTTTGTCTCATGGAAATGTAACTGTCTTCACTCATGTTTTGCAATGATGCAGTCACCAATTCAACCCCTGTGGTTGCTAGTTCCTGCAAATTACCCCAATTGTTCCCCCAAACTCTTAGACAAGTTTCCAGTTGAATCCTGGTGAGCAAATGTGCATTTTGGCATCTCTTGTTGATATTGTTGATATTGATCCAGAATCACAAAGTTTATATCACTTGTCATTCTCTTTTAACAGCAAGGAGAGTGAAGATTTGTCAGCGAAAGTGAAGTCAAGGTTTGGCATATCCCTGCGAAGCTTATCGCAACCCATGTCGCTTGGTGAGATAGCGAGGACCTGGGATATTTGTGCTCGTACAGTTATTTCAGAGCATGCACAGCAGAGTGGTGGAGGGAGCTTCAGTTCTAAATATGGGACTTGGGAGAATTGCTTGAGCACTGCATAGTGATTGATCCAGGAAGATGATAAGTTCTTACGTACAGTCCTTCAATATACAGTTAGATGACTTTATCAAAGTAGGCTTGTAAATATTTGAGTTCTTATTAGCTCACTGTCCACCTAGTCAATACTTTATGTGCGTTTAATAAGTATTATCCTTGATAGACATGCAAACCCTTTTGGTTTACTGCCACAGAAATAGCCAAAGCTTTTGTTGGAATAACTGCAGAGCAGCTTATGCAGAAGAAGGCAGTTGAGAGAATAACATGGGATGTTTTCTTGGTCACTTGGAGTTGTTTTTAAATGTAGTTGAGATGGCATGCTTGTAAACTGGGTTTTGACGATTTCAATGGCTAAGTAGAAATTTCATTTGCCTGATATGGTTGCTTTATATCAGCGTCTTGAGTTAGCCAAGCACAAGATCTGTTAGCCAACGAGTTATTTTAACTATCTTATGCGAGAAAAATTCAAGTCGCATGAGGCTTTTAGGGACTCTTTAAATGTCTAGAATGGGAGAGTTCATTGAGCAGGTGACAACAGTCAATGACAACTGGGAGTATTCAGCCCCACCAGATAAGGGAAAGTTTGGTGCGTAATTGGTTTATTACTGCTTACGGTCCTAAACATAGAAGCTCAAAGCTAGATAAAGAATTTATTTTGATTCTAAATATAAGATTTCAGTTCATTTTTATCTCTTATATTTATAATCGTTTTTCTATCTTTATTGATTATATACAGTAAGGATATTTCTTCCAAACAGTAGTTATTGTGCACATGAATAGAAAAAATAATATAGACAAATCAACCAACATTTGTTAAAAATAATTAACATAACTAATTTTTTAATATTTATAAATTAATTATTTAACTCTCATATTAAGCATTAGAGGGAGTATAATACATCACAACAGGAATTTTTTATAAGCACATGTGGATTGAAAGCAATTTTACTTGAGATGCTATCAAACACTAAATACAAATAATTCTCTTATAATGGATTCCAATTTCCAACCTTAAAAGAAGCTAACAAAAGCAAACATGGATGATCTGATCAGTTCGTCAACCTCAATATGGACATGGACTTTAAGATTCCCCTAATCACTACAAGATGATTACATGATCCTCTTGATGTTTAACACTTATACTATTTCCGGCCTTTAATACAAGAGTTAGTTTGACTTTTATTTTAGTTCTAAATATAAAACCTCAATCCATTTTATCTCTCGTATTTATCTTTTTTTTTTTTAAGTAGTCCTTATAGTAATAATAATTCTAGCTAACACACTTGATTAGGGAGAATATTTTAAAAAAAATAACACATATTTATTACAAATAACTAATTTAACTAATTTTTTTAATTTACTCAAATTAGTCAACTAGCTCTTATATTAATAACTAAAGGTAGTATTACACGTCTTTATTTTGTACATGGTGTTAACCAAAAAAAAAATCTTCATGATAAATTGGATTTTATATTTAATGTAGAGTTGCCACGTGGGCAGGGGAGCCTTTTCCAATGCAAGAATTCATGCATTCGATTCCCCCATCTTGTTTCAAGCTTCATTGTAATTATTAATTAATCTTTGGATCAACCCTTATCCCATTACGTATCATATTATATATCTTGTTATCTTATATAGGGACTCACCACCCATCATATCAAAACGGATCATATTATATCTTCATAGCCAATTATGTATCCCAAAACCGGACATATTTGAGTTATATAGATCATATGCTTAACTTAGTTTTGATAAAATTAATATATTTATCAGTTCATTGTTACCCCCAAAAAAAAAATTCTGAAAGTTATCCACTTTGTCTTTTCATTGAGGCTGTCACTATTTTAAAATTTAACACCTCATTCTGCATCTTTAATATTAATTAATAAATTTTAAAGCTGTCAATGCCCTTTTGGAACACTTTTTTGTCTTGAAGTGTTTAGGATATTTATATTCAAGAATGGCCGTAAAATATTCAAAGGTTCGCATCTTGAAGGATTGCAATTAGTAGCATATTTAGAAACTTCTAGTTATCTTTCAAAATCAAAATTGTTATAATTCTTAAGTGAATTTTTGAGAAAGTTACAACCAGAATCTAAAAAAAAATGCAGTAACTTCTTAGAATTTGATAATAAATTTTTAAAATATAAAAAAATATAATCTGCGGAAATAATTCATATTTTTTAAAAAATATTAACTTGAATTTTTTAAATTCTGGCTGTTATTTTCCCCAAAGAATATCAGGATAATTCACAGAAAGTTACCACTTTGGCATTTATACAAGAGAATGGATAGATTCACCAGGTGCAGCCAAACAGGGAAGTACACGTGGCATCGCGTATTGAATGCTTCGAATCTGAGGACGGCACGTTACGTCACCTTTTAACTTATTGATTAAATAAATTAAATGGCTCATCATATTGAACAAAAATTGCCTGCCTTTTATATTGTTTTAAATAAATAATAATAATATTTTTTAAGCACTCTGTCAGGCACTAAGAGCTCGCTTAGTATAAGAAAAATAAATGAGAGGGAGAAAAAGTTTTAATAAGGTGGATTTAGAAAATTAAAAAAGTGAAGTCGAAAGCTTTTAATTAATTTTTATTGTCTTTTAATTTTATATTTTCTATTAAAATTTTATAACCCTACTTCTATTATTTTTTAAATCGAACTTACTAAATTTTTTTCTCCTCTTTTTTTCCTTCTCCAACCAAATATAGGGTAAATATGAACACTCCTCCCAATTAAAAATTGAAAAATTGATTCACTATATTACATTACAAAAAATTAACTCTTTTCACTGAATTAGTATAGTAACAATAATATTCTTCTTACCAATAGAAAAGAAAGACATGACAGCCCACAATAAATCCAAACGATGGGCCGTCCATCGCCCAATGTTTGGGAAATCCTGCGTGCCGCCTTCGCTGTTTGGTTTCACCATAATACTTTTATTTTTTGTTATCCAATTTTTTAATCAAAATATGCGTAGTACATAGTACTCCCTCCGTTCCTTATTATAAGAGACATTTGATACTTATGGCATACTCCTATATATAAGAGACACTTACAAGTTGTCTCTACTTTTTTGTGTTGATTTACTATTTTACCCATATTTATTATCTCTAACTCACACTCTCCCTCCCTCCCACTTTTCTTTCTTTTAATAATTTAATTGTTTTCTCTCATGCTCTCTCTCCTTATTAATGAGGGTATTTTGGAAAAAAAATATATTTTTTACACATTAATTGTTCTTAACTAATTTTAACTGTTTTTTTGATCAACGTACTTCGGTTATTTGTCTCTTATAATAAGGAACGGAGGGAGTATCTAGGCAAATTTTTTATTCTTTTTAAAAAAATTCTGTTATTTAATTTCAAATTAATATATTCATTGGTTGTTTATCCTGTTAGAATAAAGTGTTACTAATGAAGAACACGCGATAGAAATAAAAAATGGAAAGAAAAATTAGATCAATTTCGGTGCTTCTACATCCAGCACCATAATATTATTTTTAGAGTGCATCTACCACCTAATCTTATTTTTAGTAAAATTTAGGATATTAGATGCACCACATAACAGATTAAAATGTTAGATAAATAAGATCAGGAGATTAAATGTCTGTAAACAATATTTTATAATTAGAATCGGAGATAATATATATTTAATCTTAAAAAAGATATTCAAAACTGTTGCCTTTGGTAGAAAATAAGTTTCTTTTGTTCTTTTGGTTTGCCAGAGAAAAATAAATTTTCATAGGAATATATTTAAATTAAAAAATATTTAAAAAAATAAAATTCAAATTTGAAAGTTTAATTAATAATTTAACAAATAATAATAATAATACTACCACCTCTGATCCTTAATATAAGAATTCATTTGACTTTTATTTTGATCGTAAATATAATATCTCAATCTATTTTGTCTCTCATATTTATTTATTTTTTTAAAGTAGTCCTTCTAATAATGATAATTCTAACCAATACAAGATATTTTTTAAAAAAATAATACTTATTTATTATAAATAATTAATTAATTTTATTTTTTTAATTATTTAAATAAGTAAACTAATTTTTATTTTAGAATTAGAGGCAGCACCAACAATCATCGTAACGTCGGATGGAGTAGCAGATCAATGCGACGCGTGGTACACAAAAACACCAAATTAGGATTCTCACCGGTTGCGCTTCCATCACTCTCATGACACGCGTGATAACCACGTACTTCTATAAAAACCTAGATAATTCGAAGGTGATTGCACATTCCTCGAAAACGCGCGTGAACCAGGGAGATTTCCTTTTCCCACCCATAGATTCTGAACCTGACTCGAGAGCGAAACTATGCCCACGCTCTCTGTTTCTTCACTAACCGCCACTCAGTAAAGCGAGAAGTCCTAACCGCCCTCGGAAACCCTTCCTAAATTACGACTCTACCCTTCCTTTCCTTCTTTTCCCCGGCCCCCATATAAACCCGCCTTCACTGAAAAACCGTTTGCGCAACTGATTCCCAAAAGGGCTGCTTGAGCTCTTTCTCTCTCCAAAACTGCTCCAACGCTCTCTCTCTCTCGAAAAATGGCTTCTGGTTGTGTAGCCTCTCCTCCTTCAAGAAACAAAACGACGATGTCGGGTTCTTCTTCGCCGGCGTTTGCTTCGTCTTCTTCGAGTTTCGCTCCACGGCCGTCTCCTTTCTTCACGGGCTCGTCATCCCCCTCGAGCCTCAGCCTCTTCGGCCGTCGATCTTCGCCTCCGTCTTCACCTTCGTCCTCGTCGTCGTCCTCCTCATCTTCTTCAATGAGATTCCCAATCGATAGGCCGACTTCTCCGCGGCGGTCAATGTCGGTGGCGAATCAGACGAATAATGCCGTCTCGAGTAACAAGAGGATGTGTATGTGTGCCCCTACGACGCACCCTGGCTCATTTCGGTGCTCCTACCACAAGCGTCTCGCCGAAAAGCAGAAGAATCGAGCAGCGTCGCCTTCTATTCAATCGTCGAGTACGAGACTCAATCTTCGGAGATCGGCGATGAAGAACTCTCTAGTGAGAATCGGCGGTGTGGAGGGTGAACTGGTGAATAGGACACTGACCACTCTGATTAGACCTTCGTCGCACCAGCTACGACGACGAGAAGCCTTCCAACCAAAGAGGAGTCGACTCTGGATGGTGTCCCACGCCGAAGACTAGGGATCTCTGTTTCCCGATTTCATCCCTTTGCTGATTCTTTATCTTCTTCTGGAAGTTTACTCTGTTACATGGATCATTGCTGACTTAGGAATTAGGACCTGGGAGTAACAATTTTTGTAGTGGTGAATACGATAGAATTATTTGTAAATTCTGGGGCAATGTTGTGAATAATTTTTGCTTTCGATCGCTAAGACTTTCATGTTCGAATTCGAGTAGAGTCTGTGATTTCGTTGTTCATAATTGTATTAACAGGTGAAGATTTAAGAAGTTTTGAGAAGATTGTGAGAATTTACGTTCACAATGAAAGATTCTGGAATTAATTGGTCAGAGGACCGTTGCTTTGAAGTTTTAAATCCTTCATTTAACTCGCTCATTATTCTGAACTGAATTGATAATTTCAATGTTAGTCTGTATCTCCTTTGTTAGTGATTGCACAATAATTTATAACTTAAAAAGGCAAAGTAAATCGAAATGCTCTTAAAAAAAGCAGAGTAAATATAAATGAGGGATTTAATCGAATATATGTCATCAACATTAATTCAGTGAAAAAAATAAGCCGTTGAGTGTGGAAAAGAAAATTCTTAGTGGGGAATCTTTACAGTTTAGATTTCTCCATAATCTTTTTTTTTTTTCCTTTTTTGGGCCTAACTTCTCCATAATCTTTTGTGCGTAGTTAGCGGAAAATTGAAAAATTTGTGAATTGCTATCTTGTTTAATACACCTTCCTAATTCATTATTCTTTTTGCCCGGTTACTCTGTTCTTTGGGTCAATACTGACCTTTTAATAAGTAATAACTCTATGGTGGTGATGGATGGTAGAATAATTTGTAAATAAAATTTTTTCTTATTGAGATGATAAGCAGTCCTCACTTGATAAAGATTAATCACATTGACCAGAGGATACTTTAAGTTATATAAAAAAAGTTGTCTCTCTTTTTAGAAAGATAGATAAATTTTTCATTTTCTTATCAATATTATATGTGAATGCCATTTACCCCTTCATCTTCAATCTCAAGATAACTTTCACTACTTCTACTATACATTACTTTTCCACTAAACCATCATTCCTCTACTATTCATTTAATATTGTAACTCAGCTCCACTCACATTCATTTAATATTGTAACTTACCTCCATTAACATTCATAAGATTGATTATCCACTATTTGTCATTTAAGAACAAGTGTAACATATATGTAAGACTATACGTATAAATAGGGTACGCTATTTGTATTGTGTGACAAGTGAAGAAATACAATAGTTCTCTCTTTTTTCGTTTTTCTTTTTTTTTTGGTCTTCATCTTTTCCTGCTCTACTTGAGGATACTTAAAACTATAAAAAAAAAAAATTCACTTTTTCTGGAGAGAGATAAATTTTTCATTCAATTGTTAAGATGGAAGGATTTGGAATTTTATTTAGTTAAACAAGCAAAAGGTCCACAAAAGAAAGTGTGCCCACTAAAAAAGTCTTTTTTTAATGTAATGGGCACATATTTTATTATAGAATAGGTCAGATTCCTCTTAATATCTATTTGAGAAAGAGCTAAAATAGTTCCTAATACTATTGTTATCTTCTCTATAAATAAGTAATTTTTAAATCGTGATTTATAAAATAAATAAGTATTTAAAAAGACTTTTATCTCAACTTATATGAAACATGCTTATATATAATTAAATAAGTACACTCAAACAAGCACGAATTCATAGTGTTGGTCAACCATACCATACATGAAGGGAGATTTGAGCAAATTTACCCCCGGTTGCTTATAACTTTAGTGACAATATGGCATTCATAGCAGCTGCAGATTGAAATTTTTGAGGAATTACGTTCAAAATCAAAGTAATATAATTCATAGATGATTATATTGTTCCAAACATGGGAACAAAGAGGAATAAAAGTTCTCTTTCTGGGAAAAAAAAACAAGAAGAAAATTAAGAGGAGAAAGTAGAGGAGTATTAATATATATATCCAAAGGAACTATAGATTGATGGATTCTTCAGTCTTAGTAATCATATTTAGATATTCACGGCTAAGGATAATAAGAGCTTTCGTTGATAAATAATAGTCTGATGCATCCGTTAAAACAGAAGGACAGAAAATAACCAAACTTACTATCCAAGAAAGAAAACAACAAATGAGAACAGAAAAACAATAAGTATTTAACATTTTGAATCTCCAAGATCATTCAAAGAAAACAACATAACAAACAAAAACATCAAAAGAAAACAACTAAGTAGTATTTAACATCTTGAATCTCTGAGATCCTTCATAACAAGATCTTGTAGAACAGTGGGAGGTCTGAGGATCCAATTCACAAGGCAAAAGTCCTGCTTCAAAGAAGTATTGGCAATCCAATTAGCTACCAAATTTGCTTCTTTGGGAACCCAAACAAACCTATGAGTCTTTATCAGAGTCCTCAAAAAATTGATACTTTCAAGCAACGCATCACACCCAGATGAATCAGATGGAACATTCTGCTGGAGAATACAATCAATTAAAGTTTTATCATCTGATTCAAAAATTACCTCATCAAGTTCATTGTTGATTGCATAGCTCATTGCAGATTCCATAGCTTTGAGCTCAATGAGCAAAGGAGATTGATCAGCACTGCATCTGAAATTCCAGAGATCTAAGAGCCATCCATTTGAATCTCTGATTATAAAACACATTGCTGCAATTCCCAGTTCATCAGAAAAAGCACAGTCAGTATTTATTTTTAGCCAATTCCCTACTGGAGCTATCCATTTAATGGATGATGAAGAACTCCCATCTTCTTCATCAGTTCTTCTTCCATCATCTTCATCAGTTCTTCTTCTTCCATCTTCTTCAGACCCGTTATGAGAAGTAGATCCATTAGAGTGACCACATTCAGAAGCCATAGCTTTTGCTGTAACTTGGACCACAAATGAAATGGTGTGTATGTAACCCATCATCAATATCTTATAATTTGAATCCTGTAATCCCATGATTATGGATATCGTTGCGATTTTCTTGTTATTGAAGATTTTGTTGCGATTTTTAATGATGGTCAAACAGAAAGGAAAGTAAATGTATGTTCTGAGGAAAAAAAAAATTTTGTCTACAAGATTAATTAATTATTTGTCAAGTTGAAATGAAATTGAATCGGTAGTAAAATGATTGAGAAAATTGATTAAATTTGTGATACCTTATAAGTAATGTGAGGTGGCGTTGTCATACATTTGAATTAAATACATTATGCATCTTAAGAATATTTATGTGAACAATGTTGTTGTAATTTTTAATCGATGAAAAATAATTAATGGAAAGCAAATCTAAACAACCATGGAGATTTGGTCAAAATTTTGTCAATTAGTACTATTTTCACTTTTGAAAAAAAAAAAAAAAAGCCATTGAGCGTGAGATATTACTCCGTGATCTTTCGCTTTCTCCGTAATCTTTTCAGTATATGTTATTTCCTTTAATCTGCTCTATTTATTTTTAGTGCCTAACATAGAATAGAAGAATAGAGAGGACGGAGGGATCCATTAAAATCTATCACTCTGTTCCTACATGTAAGTTATCTGTAGGAGAAAAGTTCATTCTTAAGTATAAATCACTTGCATGGTGATTAATGACTTGTTCAATTTTACTCCTATTAAACACAATAAAAAAAATATGTGAATTTTTTTTAATAATACCTTTCTTTAATTGGTACATGTAAAAAATTTTATAAATTTAATGTATTTTTTTACTATGAAAAACTGGTGTATAATTAATTATTTATATATAGCAACAAAGTGGTAACATGGTGTTGGTCGGATTAAGGTGCGTTTAAGAGATCTTTCTAAAATCGCCCCTCATTAACTGCACTAAGTAAGTATTTACCACTCTCCAACTGACTTACATGTTGAACCAAGTCATTTTTATAGAAGTGAATTGTACGATAGATTACAGGGGTTTTTTTTTTTAATTATACCCTACTTTATAAAGAAAGTACAGAAGATATCATGAATAAAAATTTATTATAAAAAGATAATAAATGGCATATACTTAATGGGTTAAAAATAAAAAGACTAGTTTAAAATTTCAGACAACAAGATTTTGTTTCTTATATTTAAATCAATATTATGGAAAGAATGTTTCTTATAAAAAAGAACGGAAGAAGAATTAAATGGTCCTATGAACAATAAATAAAAGATATAATTGTACATGCATGTTAAAAATTTAATGATATGATTCATAAATTGGGTAAAAAAAAGGTTTTCCACTCTCTTTATCTTACATAAATAGGACGAGAAGAATATGTTATTTTCAGTCATCTTTATAAAAGAAAGATACAAAATTACTTTGTTAGAATGAATGTTAGGATAAAAGATTGGGATGTAGCTAAAGATACTGATAACTTCTCTTTTGACCCAAAAAGAATGCAGCTTTTTTTATTTGCTCCATGGGCCTTTGATTGAGCCCATTAATAAAGAACAAGTGGACTAAATTCAGCCCAAGGTGTGGAAAATAGATTCTCTTCCTCCTTGCTTCTATTTCCTCTCATAAACTTTCAATTTTATCCTTAAATACACAAAATGTATATTAACAAAAAGATTGTATACAAAGTATTTAAAAGAAAACTAAGAAAACCAATAATGTAAACAGGGAAAATAGTTGTTATAAACAGTTGTGCTCTGTTATATTTATCAAATATATTGAAGCGCTGAGATGAGAATTTAAATCATCAATATGAAATATCTACTCTAATTTTAGTCATAGGTAAAAAGCATACCAATTACTTTCCTGCTTATACCGACTTCCAAATCAAACCTTGGAAAAGAAGACTTGATATGTGAAAAAGATACAAAAGCATGCAGAATATAGTGCCTTTTCTTTGTTGACTAATTGTGCAGTTAATTTAGACTACAATTTCTATGGACTGTGTTGGCTCATTTAATCTGACTTTTCTTAGAATTAAGGTCTGTTCAATAGCATTTATTTGAGTCTGAAAGCTGAAGCCTAACTTCAATGCTCATTTACATATTATTGACCCAAAAAAGTGAGTCCCTGCTCATAATGTTAAACTTTATCTAAATCCTCCAATGACCATTCCAGAATTCTAAGATGTGAATGCTAAAGGAGAACTAATTAACGGTAAATGTACACTGCAAATATGTCTACAATCACCATGAATAAAAAGATAATCCAAACTGTTTCATTTGTTCCTGAAACTATATACGGTGGAAATCTCCAATTCTGATGCTAAAGTTGAACATACAAAAGCAGAAGAGGCACAATAGTTACAGAATCAGACAGATGCTAAAGTTACCCATCTGACCACTAAAGGAAGAGAGAGAGAGAGAGAGTCTCAAATCTCTCACCTGATATGGAAAATCCCAAAGAAAAGAAAAGAAACTTAAATTTCAGTTTGGCTTTAGATCCTGAAACATAGCATCCCACCTGATCTCTTCAAGAGCAGCTGACCAATACCCATCATCATCTTCTTCTTCAGCCATCTTCATCCCCTTCTGCAAATTCTTCACCTTTGGGCTAGAAACTGAATACCCATCAGGAACAGATACAGTAGGAACTACTGCAGAATTCCCATTTGTGAGAAGAAGCCTTTCTTGCTTATAATTACTATTACTATTCATCATCGCTTCTTATTATTGCTTCTGCTTCTCTTCATCCTACAACTCTTCCATCTTGTTTCCTGTTCACTTGGCCTAGTGGGAACCACCACAAGTGCTGATGATTTTTCTCTGTGAATCAGAGTGTGAATGTAATTGGATAAGCAATTCTTGGTCTTCTTGATTGCCCCAATGAGCCTTGACACCGGATGTGAGCTTCTGGGCTTTTCCTTCTTTGCAAGCTTGAGAATTTCAAGCCTGTGCTTGGCTATGGAGATTCCCATGCTCTGAAGAAACTCATGGTTGAAGTAGACCATGTCTTCTTGTTCAAGCTCGTTGTGAGCAAAAACGACGCCATACTCATAGACTAGAGATGGGTCAAGGCTTGTTTTTGAAAGCCACGAGAACCAATCCATGGAAGCTGGGCTGAACCAGGGAGTTCCTGAAAGAGGGAGGGAAGCCAAAGAGAAAGCAAGAGAAAGTGGTTAAGTGTGAAGAGAATGTGACCGACATCATGTGGGGTGAGCATATATATACACACATAAATGTATATGCTCTTTTTGTAAAATGGTTATTGTAATCTTGAGAGTGACTAAAGGGAAAAATAAAAGATCGGTGTGTGTAGGGCTGTCATCCCACGTTCCTGTTCCCTCCAAAAACTAGGCAAGTGTGATGTGATCAAATCCCTATCGTGTGAGACCAATGTCAAATGATAATAGGTCATGATATTTTAATTTGGGGCAAATTACTTTTTTTTTTAATATTTTGTTAAAATTATATGAAATTCGTTTTTATTTTCAAACTTCTACACACTTTTGCCAATATAAAACACCATTTATCTTGAACTATCTTTGACTTGTCCTAAAATTATACAAGTTATGAATTGTGCGACTTATTTACTGAATCTCGTCGGCTGCACAGGCTCCACTTAGTTTGTAGAATTTCAATGAAAGATATATTTGCCTTTTTTTTTCTTGCCATTAAAAAAGTAGTAAAGAAATGAATATGTATATATAATGGCATCTATTGCGGTTAAAGGAAAGAGCTTAAGGTGGTGGGGCAGTACTTGTTGCTTAGCTTAGTGGATTGAAAATCTGTGAAGAAAGTGAAAAAAAAGTGACATTATTTGTCTTCGAAAATATAGTATTTTAAATTCACTCATTAATTCATGCCCTGTGCATAACACGAATAGTTCTTTGATTAAGCTAAAAGGGAAGAGAAGCACTGCTTTACCGCACATTATAAATTATGCATATTCTTGGATTTTCCATCGATAATAAATTATACTATCTCTGGTCCTAATTATAAGAGCCAGTTGACTAATTTGAGGAGATTAAAGAAGTAATTTGAGTTAGTTATTTGTCATAAATAGGTATTCTCTTTTCTAAAATATCTTTGCTAATCAAGTGTATTGACTAGAACTCTTATTATTAGAAGAGCTACTTTAAAAAAAATGTATAAATATGAGAGACAAAGTGGATTGGGGTCTTATATTTAGAACCAAAATAAAAGTCAAATAAGGTCTTATATTAAAGACCGGAGGTAGTACATTATAAATTATATACACACCCACAAAGAAAAGTTTAAACAACTTAGCTCTCAAAGACTTTAGGTTCGAGGCAGTTTCACGATTTAATGAGTTAGCGCATATAAATATAAATATGAAGTACTCACCAATAAAATCTTCATGTTGGCATAAATAATGTGAATTAGATTCTTAATATAAAAGTTACTTCACTATTTTAAATAGATTAAGAAAATTAGTTAAACTTGATAGATGGTTGATAAAAGATTTACAAGACAGTAAATTTGGCCTCACTAATATTACCACACTTTGAGATAAGTGCGGTATTGATCTTGAAGGTCTTAATTAAAATATTTTGGAATTATAATTTTCATAGAATTGTGGTTGCTTGTGATGCTGTGGAAGTTTTCAATATGATATCATGAAAAGGAAAATTCAAGAAAATTATAGCATGGAAGTCAGGGAAATTTTTTGTCTTAAATATAAGTCAGTTGTAGAATATTTAATGCTTATTTTTTAACTTTATTCTTATTTAACTCTCAATGGAAAAAAATGATAGATATGAAAATAATTTATAAATGTAAATAGAGAAAAACTTTAATAAAAATAAAATTAAAAAATTTATCAATTTAATGAATTTTTAATTTTGTGAAAATGTGTTATAAGTCACTTTTTAAGTATCAGGTAGACATTCTTCATCATACATGAAAGGCTAGCTACTTACAACTGATTTTCTTTTTCCTATATATCCCTCATTATGAATAGAATCTATATACAATTTTTTTAGTATCAGGCGATAAAATTTAAAAATTTAAACCCCTACTAGGTAATTGATTAGAGTGCTAGTCTTTTTAAAGGTTTAAGT